CTGGTCTCACCCCTTCGGGAGCAAGGGAGAATGAAGAGAACAAGACACAAGGAAAAGATTAGTCCAAAGGACTAATGGACCACAGCTACCACGGTCTCCACCAGACTGAGTCCAGTACAGCTAGATGGTACCCGGCTACCACCACTGATTGCTCTGACTGGGATCACAATAGAGGGAGGGTCTTGGACAGAGCTGGAAAAGGATGTAGAACAGAGTTCTAACTCACACACACACACACAAAAAAAAAACAGATTTACTGGCCTGACAGACTGGAGAAACCTCGAGAGTATGGCCCCTGGACACTGTTTTAGCTCAGTGGTGAAGCCCCTCCTGAAGTTCACCATTCAGCCGGGGACTGGACAGCCTCATAAAACAAAACAGTACTAATGAAGCACAGCAGTCCAGGGACAAGGACTAGAAGGCAGGAGGGGAAAGGAAAGCTGGTGATAGGGGACACAAGGTTAAGAAGGGACAGTGTTGACATGTCATGGGGTTGTTAACCATTGTCATAGGGCAGTATGTGTACTAACTGTATAATGAGAAACTATTTGTTCTGCAAACCTTCATCTAAGGTAAAAAAAAAAAAAAAAAGAATTACTACGTGAGATCAAATTGACAACAGCAACTCAAAAGGTTTGATGGGAAGCCTAGGGGACAGTGAGTTAAAGATAATGGTGGTGGAATAATTTGGAAAAGGATAGTGAGAATAGCAGCACAACTGGAAGAATGTAATAGATGTCACCGAATTGTACTTGTAGAAACTTCCAAAATGGTGTAACTTTAGCTATGTATATTTTTTATCAAAAGAAGGTCCTTAAGGTCAAGAAGGGAGAGTGTTGACATGTCGTGGGGTTGTTAACCAATGTCATAAAATAATATGTGTACTGACTGTTTAATGAGAAACTATTTGTTCTGTAAACCTTCATCTAAAGTACATTAAAAAAAATTAATTAGAAAAAAAAAAAAAACCTTATTGTCAAAAGTAGAATTGGCTGTAGATCTTTCCAGGGCTTAAAATCTGAAGGTATTTTGATGTAAGTGCAGTTATTATTATTATTACTACTATTTCAGTTTTAAGTGGGAAGGAACTGTGGTTTGTCCAATTTTTGTGAAGAAGAGTTTTGTCATTTGTCTTAGTTATCTAGTGCTGCTATAACAGAAATACCACAAGTGGATAGCTTTAACAAAGAGAAATTTATTCTCTCACAATCTAGGAGGCTAGAAGTCTGAATTCAGGGTGCCATCTCCAAGAGAGGTCCTTGTCATCAATCTCCTCCTGGTGTGGGAGCTTCTCAGCACAGGAACCTCAGGTCCAAAGGACACACTCTGCTCCCGGCATTGCTTTTACGGTGGTATGAGGTCTTCATGTCTCTGCTCGATTTTCCCTCCCGTATCTCAAAAGAGATTGGCCCAAGTTGTAGAATAATCTTGTAGATTGAGTTTACATAACTGTCGCTAATCCCATCTCATCAACACCATAGAGATAGGATTTACAACACATAGGGAAACCACATCAGATGGCAAAATGGTGGACAATTACACAACACTGGGAATCATCACCCAGCCAAGCCAATAGACATTTCCAGGGGAAACAATTAAATCCATGACATCATTGAACAGACAGCACAATGTATGGCTAGATTGTCTCCCACAGTGCTTGCAAACACTTTTAATTGTCCCCAGTGTGGTGGCCACATGTTTGTTCTCCACCTGGTTAGGTCATAAATCAGAGAATTTAGAGAAAACAGAAGAGAGAAAAAACTGATGTCTGACGAAGGCTAATGCACTGTCATTTCTTTTTAATATTCTAAGGTATGTGTGTGTGTGTGTGCATGTTTGTTTAAAAGAAAATATATATTGTATACCATTACCATTCTAGTCAGTTATTTAGACTCTGGCAAGATATTTTTAAGTTTGTTGGAACAGATTCGAAACAAATGATCAACCGCATTTAGTTATAAATTTTGAGATTAAGAGAATCAGTTGACATTCAATGGTTATTCACTGTGTGCAAATCATCATTAAGGCGTGCTATGCTTTGGAGCATAAATATGTTCAAGAAACTTTTGTGAAATAAATAAATGTATACTGAATTTCACTAGAATTGTAAAAACCGGAAATATGTAGAAAGGGAAAATTGCACTCACATAAAATGCATCCAAAATTTTAAAGTCCAATTAAAAGAGTTATTCAATTAAATATTAATCAACATGATAAAACATTATAGTATATGAATTGAAAGTAGCTGAAATTCCTTAAATATTTACAAAAACAAATGATTTTAAAACTAGGAAAATATTTTAGAAAGGATCTGGGTTAACCCTTGAATCCTAGAGATAACTAAGAGCCAAACAGAATAAATCAGACATTCCAAGATACACAGCTTTATGTGAGCACCAGATTGGTGCATTTTATCTGAGATTCAGTGCAAACACTCTACCTTCCCATCAGGGTCTACTCTGGTCTGCCTCTCTGACAGTATGAACCCCACAGCAGAGGTCATCCTGCAGGGGCCTGTGGTCAAGCAATAGCAGTTGTGGGCTTTTCTCTTCCGGGAATTAAGCTGTACATGGGTACATCCAGAGCTTTTTTCAGATGAGAGAGAATTACAATCTCTCCCTTCCTGCTTCTATAATTTGGCCTGCCCATCCAAATTATCTACACCTGCTTCTTCTTTTTACCCCATCTTCTTTTAGTGGGACTGGAGAAATTGTCTCACGTACTTTGGACATGTTATCAGGAGGGACCAGTCCCTGAAGAAGGACATCAAGCTTTTTAAAGCACAGTGTCAGCAAAAAAGAGGAAGACCTTCAACGAGATAGACTGACACAGTGGCTGCAACAATGAGCTCAAACACAGCAACAATTGTGAGGATGGCACAGGACAGAGTAGTGTTTCATTCTGTTGTATGTAGGGTCGCTATGAGTTGGAACCAACTCAATGGCACCTAACAACAACAACAATTTTAAGCACCGCAGCAAGTCTGTAAAATGACAGCTAGTAATGAACTTCATACAAAGTGAGAGCACTATCAACCGGATTTGCACTTGAATTTTTATCTTCATCACAGAAGCAATAGATTTTCCAGTCCACTGGCAAGCTTCCCTTAATACCCCTTCGTGACCAAAGATATGAATTTGTTAGCCAAAGATACGAATTTGTGTGTCATGGGCAGAACAAATCTAACTTGGCTCTAAAAATGCCAAACCTATCACCTTGGACTCAGTTATCAGTGTGATCTAGTTAACTGAGATAATATGGCTGTCTTCCTAGTATCTGGTTAGTTGAGCATCCTTGGGTGTCAGTCAGGGTTCTTTGGTGGCAAACAACAGAAATTGACTCATCAGGTTAAGCCACAAAGGAATGCATTGGAAGAAGTGAAGGAAAAGCTGAAGAACCAGAGCTTAGAAGGGACTCTCCTAAAACAGCTCTGGGGGATTTGTGCTCCAAGATCTAATAGATACTTTAGTGGGAAGAGTGAGCTCCAACATTTTTTTATCCTTGTGTCCTTCTGCTCAAGATTCATATTCTAGGGAGACTGATTGGCCAAGCTTGGATATCATTAAAACCAAAAATCAAACCCGTTTCCATTGAATGGATTCCGACTCATATTGCTGGTTAAATTGTGGAGGGAAAGTTTCCCATAGGAAAATACAGCTGCTCTTACCAGAAAAAAAAGGGGAAATCAATGCTGGGCAATCAAATCAGCAGATGCCCACCACACTACCAAAACGTGGTGATTAAATATGGAGAAATAGAGACTGACAGAGATAGGTGGGTGTGAAATCTATCTAGACAACAGCCCAATGATGAGACCAATAAAAAAGTTATTACAATCTGGTTTTGAGTAGTAGTTTTAAATGGGGCCATTTACTACTATTTTTTCTTTGAAATGCTTCCAGCATTGCCCAAACCCTGAGTGTTATGTGAATAACTCATCCATTAAGCATCTCTTTCCAGAGAGCATTGCTTATCTTCCTACCCCTTCTCTTTCTGGCCACTCCTACCCTCTTCTATTTAACAAAATTTGAACCTCAAAGCTATTTTTTCAGAAATCTTTGTTTAGATTGGGAGAGCAATCAAACCACATGGGATGCTTCGCTGACCTTCAGCATGTAACAAATGGTGATTTCAATTTTTTAAATCTGAAGTCAAACCCTTCGTATTAGAAGTAGAAAAGAAAAACCAAAAGGTCAGATCAAATGCTTATTTGAAGCTGCCTTCTTAGTGCGCTTAGGCCCACTTGTTCTAGCTCCCTTTCATGAAAGAAACCGCCTGGTAGACGCTGTTGAGATGAAAGATGGTTCTTCACTTCTACTCAAAGTACATTCAGGCCAGCATTGTGAAAGAGAGTTTATTCATCGCTTTAGCTTTAGCTGGCTTTGTTTCGTGTAAAACTTCACTGTTGGTTATTAAAATCTTCGCGTAGGAAACAAATTTGTAAACCATTTCTCATATTACCTACACACAGAAAAACAAAATTTGATATCGTAGGGTTTATTTGCCGAGGGCGCTTCCCATAAAAGCGAGTGAGTATGCATTGGGAAATATGTCTGGTTAACTCCTTTATGGATCAATGTTAGTCACAACTGTCTCCCCCCTCCCCCGCCTCTCGCCCCCAGCACACTCCCCACCTCTCCCTTTCCCGCCTCTCCAGGGCTGGTGACCTAATAGCATTTTTCTCCATGCATATTTTGGCGTCGCCCCATGGCCTGGCTGACTTCGTCTGTCTGAGTTTTTTTAAATTCCTGCATGTTCGCTCCAGATTAAGCTGTGTGTCTCAGGATGTGTGTTCCGTTTTCTTCTTTCCCCTAAACTCTCTGCAACGTGTCTGGTGGGGCGTGGGGGCGGGGAGGAAGAAGGGAAGGGGAGGAGAGGGAGGGGCAGAGGCGAGGAGCTGTCAGCCTTGCACGTTTCCAATCTCATTACGTGAACAAATAGCGGAGGGGCGGCCGGGCCAGAACGGCTTGTGTAACTTTGCAAACGTGCCAGAAAGTTTTAAATCTCTTCTTCTTTCACTCCAGACACTGCCTGCTCGCCGAGGCCGCCGCGTCGCTCCCCGCCGCCTTCCAGAAGTACTGGGAGAGCGGAGAGAGCCGGGCGCCACGTCTGAGAGGCCGTCTTTACTGAAGGAGGGTCTGCAGCCCACCCTTGGCACTGCTTGGTGGGGACTGAGATACCCAGCTTGGCCCGCCTCCTTGGCTGGATGATTTCTCCCTCCCTCACGTGATTTGAGCCCCGTTTTTATTTTCTCTAAGCCACGTCTTCTCCAACTGGGTACAAAAAGGCAAACGGAGCGATGCGCCTCGCCTGGACCGCGTTCCTGTTCGGCCCGCTGCAGCTCTTCGCGCTCCTTCGCTGCCCCTCGCCGGCCGCCGGCCAGCAGCAGCCCCCGCGCGAGCCGCCGGCAGCCCCGGGCGCCTGGCGGCAGAGGATCCAATGGGAGAACAACGGGCAGGTGTTCAGCCTACTGAGCCTGGGCTCGCAGTACCAGCCGCAGCGGCGCAGGGACCCGGGCGCCGTCGGCCCGCAGCCGCGCACGCATGTCCTGCTGCTCCGGAACAACCGCACAGCGGCGGCGCGGGCGCGGGCAAGCGGCTCGACGGGAACCACCGCTGACCGCCCCAGGCCCGCCGCCCGCCACTGGTTCCAAGCTGGCTACTCGTCGTCCGGACTCAGCGGCGCTGGCGGCTCGGGCGCCGGCAACCGGACTGCGCCAGGAGAGCGCCCGACGCTCAGTAACCTGCAGCCGCCCAGCCGGGTGGACGGCATGGTGGGCGACGACCCATACAATCCCTACAAGTATACCGACGACAACCCCTATTACAACTACTACGACACGTACGAGAGGCCACGGGCTGGGGGCAGGTACCGGCCCGGATACGGCACCGGCTACTTCCAATACGGTAAGCGCCCCCAAGTCCACTGGAAGCACCCCCGCACCCTGTCCACAACTATGTGGCTCCCCGACGTGGCTGCCTGGGCGCGGCGGGCCCTGGCACCCGCGGATACGACTCCTCCCCCCGCGCCTGCAGAAGCAGCCCTGGAATCTGGTGGAAACCGCGCGCGCCTGGCTCCTCCTGCTTCCTTTCCATTTTACTTTGCAGCCCCCAGAATCCCCCGTTTTCCCGCTTCTGCAGTCCCATCTTGCGGTCCCGGCGGGCGAAGGGTGAGGAGTTAGGGACTCAGAGGGACCGGGAGCCGGAGTGGAGGGCGCGGGGTTGTCTAACTACTGTGCCCGACGCTGCTGACGTTTAGGTCTGCCGGACCTGGTGCCTGACCCCTACTACATCCAGGCGTCCACTTACGTTCAGAAGATGGCCATGTACAACCTGAGATGCGCCGCCGAGGAAAACTGCCTGGCCAGGTAGGGGCTGCAGTGTTGCTTGGTTCTGATGCCTCCTGTTCGGCGCAGACTAGAGCTGAGAAGTGGAACTAGAGCTGGAAGTGGGACGTGACCTCCTGCGCATGCTGATCGGGATGGAGAGTTACATTTTGAAGATTTCTGTGGGTTCTGTCTCTCAAACAATAGCACACATCAGGGAGACAGAGAAAACCCTTATCTTAGAAACTGGAAATCTCATGTTCTTTTTCCAAGAGTCTCAAACGTTGGTGCCAACTATTTCCAGTAACGTTCTATAAAACAAGTATACAGTAAAGTGGAAAAAAATCATTGTAATGGGAGAGCTTGTTAATATTTGCCACAGTGGCACCCCTCATTGGCAAAGGTTAATTTTTCCTCTTTTGTTTGAGGCAACGATTCACTTGGCTGTTTTGATATTACTTCAGCCATGAGCGAGAGCTTTGTTTTTCCATCAGTCCTGAAATAAAATCGTAGCAATTTTGGGAATGGATTTGCTGCTGGGAAACCAGCAGAGGGAGCAAAAGATACATTGATAGGTCCCATGAAGATTTTAAAGTGTAAAATAAGGTCATCAGTAGTACTTGAACATATATTCACAAAAATATATGTTAGAAGGAATGCAGTGGTATGTATTTGTATATTTCTTCCACTTTCGCCGTTTATAACTGGCAGGCTAAAGGAAAAGAACAAATTCAAGCTCATGATTTTCATTCCTAAGTCCTGCATTACTCACACCACTGTACTTCCTATGATATTACATTAGTGTTTGTTTTGAAGGTAGTGAAGTTACAAAATTGTTTATCTAAATCTGGGTGTATTTTAACAGTTATTTCCCCCACTTTACATCTTAGTTAAACTGTCTGAGAAGAAATGTGTTGGTAAAATTCGAGGTCCTTAATAATGAGTATCTATGAGTTCTTCTTTATTTGAGATAATTTCTACCTCGGTTTTATTAATTCATATTGTTACACTTGAATTTATTATAAATACAGAATTTATTATCACATGTAAATTTTTAGTGCTAATTTTATTATATTTCTTGCTTTTAAGCTCTGGGGATCTCCATACTTATGATTCATTCACTTAGTCAGCAAATATACATTGAGCTCTGACTTGCCAGGCACTGTTCTAGGTTCTGTGGAATCTGGGCCCCTTGGAACTGATAGTCTACTTGGGGAAGAGAGCTGTAACTATTATATTATGATGAGGTTTTGTTTATAGTTTTGTATTTAGTTACTATTCTGTGAATATAATTATTTTTCTTCTTTCAAAATTGCAGTTCAGCATATAGGGCAGATGTCAGAGATTATGATCACAGGGTGCTGCTAAGATTTCCCCAAAGAGTGAAAAACCAGGGGACATCAGATTTCTTACCAAGCCGACCAAGATATTCCTGGGAATGGCATAGCTGTCACCAGTAAGTGGATGAGCCCCCTGTACTTCTGAGTTACTTTTTCATCTGTCAGGTGGTTCTTGATATAACAAATCCAAGTCTTATTTGTCAAACAAACAAACAAAAAATACTGTTATTTCCATTAAGAATTCTCTGTGTAATTTTACATAATCAAGGAAGTTTAACGTTAAGATAATCCATCAACTACTAGATCCTGTTATTTTTTGAATTGCAAAGTCTAAACCCAGCTTATTAAAACTGTTGATAAGATACAGCATTTGGCATCAATAGAATTTTACTCCAAGATACTACAATTAGGATTTCTAAAAAATTCTGTTACAACCAAAATCACCTATGGTTCAAACCCACTGCCGTTAAGTCGATTCCGACTCATAGCGACCCTGGAAGACAGAGTAGAACTGCCCTATGTGGTTTCCAAGGCTGTAAATCTTTACGGAAGTCGGAAGTCGCCTGTCACGTTTCTGCCTCAGAGCAGCTGGTGGTTTGAACTGCTGACCTTTCAGTTAGCAGCCGAGCGCTTAACTACTTCGCTACCAGGGCTCCTTCATCTCTGGTTAGTTAGCATTTAATAAAGACCATATCTGAGAGATTTAAGACTGTTATCAAGAGGAGTCAGATACCATTCTCAAAGAAAGATGCAAATGATATACTTCACGAGCTGAGGATGATCTTCCTTGATCTCTTAAAAGGCCTATATCAAACCCATAGTAGTTGCCTGTTCTGTTGTAAATTTAAAGATTTTCACATAAAGTAGTTCTGTAATTTTCCCTGGTAACTTTCCCAGGTGGTTATTGCCAGGAAATCCTGAAATGTGCCCTTAAACTTTCTTTCTGCCATTCAAGCCATTTTTTCAAGCTCGTTCTTTACATGAGATGACCAGTTCAGCACCTTCTATCTCATGAAATAAGAAAAATAGGCATGAGCCACCTAATTTGCTGGTAAAATAGAAATATTTTAATTTATTTTTAAATTTTTTAAATTGTACTTTAGATGAAGGTTTACAGAACAAACAGTTTCTCATTAAACAGTCAGTGAACATATTGTTTTATGACATTGGTTAACAACCCCATGACATGTCAACACTCTCCCCTCTCCACCTTGGAGGGTCTGTTTTTTGGTGAAAATATACATAGCCAGAGTTACACCATTTCAAAAGTTTCTAGATGTACCACTCAGTGGCATAGATTACATTCTTCCAGCTGCGCTGCCATTCTCACTATCCCTTTCCAAATTATTGCATCACCATTATCTTCAACTCACCGCCCCCCAGGCTTCCTATCAAACCCTTTGAGTTGCTGTTGTCAGTTTGATCTCATATAGATAATTCTTTTTTTTTTTTTTTGTACCTTAGATGAAAGTTTGCAGAACAAATAGTTTCTCATTAAACAGTTAATACACATATTGCCCTATGACAATGGTTAACAACCCCACAACATGTCAATACTGTCCCTTCTCAACCTTGGGTCCGCTATCACCAGCTTTCCTTTCCCCTCCTGCCTTCTACTACTTGTCCATGGACTGCTGTGCCTCATTAGTCCCATTCTATTTTATGAAGCTATCCAGTCCCCGGCTGAACAGTGTACTTCGGGAGTGACTTCACCATTGAGCTAAAAGAGTGTCC